GATATTCCCCTTGGTTACCTGAAGTGAACAACATATAGGAGGTTATCAGAACAATGCCATCCAAATTGCATTTATCTGCAATAGTCGCAAGCCATCTCGTGGATGCTTGAACTAAAAAATGCTAATGTTAAGTTTTGAATCCACGCCTTGATCGTCACCAATATTGAAATTTCCCACCAGAAGAAATCAGTGTTTTTCACTGTACACTGATCCAACTTGTTTTACCCATCCTTGATCTGTAGGGCGGTTTGTGTTAATCTGAGTAAGCCATTCATCAAATTAAACCACTGTACCGTATAACTACAATCAACAGTCCTCTCAAACGCGACAGACAAGTGTCAGCTGCACTGAACGTCAAGCCAAACTCGTAAGCAGAAAAGACAGCAGAATGTCTCGTGCAGTTGACCATTTCTGAATCTAATAACATCCTTCTGGCAATTGGATTTCTATTTTGACTCACTTCCGAAAAGACAAGTTCAGCACATTCACTAAAGCTGTGCAGATGGGTGAAAGTTGATGATGATGTTTGTTGAATACACTCGACATTCTTCCGTCATAACCATTTCCGTTTCCTGGTTAAAATCTTCGATATAAAATGTTCTGTGTGGTATTAATCGTCCGTGGATTCCTGACAAAGGATATTTATTTTTCACTTCAGCTCACCACTGTCACCAACCCAGACAACCAGCTGGTTTCCAAAAGCACTTTCCACAGCAACGTCACGGTACATATGCAGTCATGGACCCAGATCACCGATTAGCCCCCCGGAACGAAAAGAACCCCGAAAGTCTCATCCTGCATTTCAGTTTTGGCATGCAAATGACGCGACGTGGGATCAGAACCACCACTTTCATCCATCTTGCTATTTGGATGCTGAGTCCGACAGTATTCACAGCATTTCCACAGCTCACTCAGCTCCTCCGTGCCACACATGTGGCCAGGTTGAAAATGACTGCGAAATATGGGGAATGCCTTCTCTACCGGAAGATATTAGAAGCCCGGTCAGCGTTCCAATCGGGAACAAGATAAAACGGTGTCCGGTATTGCCTACCAAACTGGCTGACAGCATGACCTATCCTCATTTCGCAAACAGCCCTTCTTTCAGTAATGCGCATCGCGTATGCTGTACCAAGTACCATTACCATCCCCCAGTGTTTTCACAGGTAATTGGTTGAGTGGGACAGTTGTGTAACTAAGTTGTACAATAATTTGATCGTTTTTATCAATCTGAAAGCTGATTTTGATTCCGTTGGTCGTCAGAAACAGTCAGTATTTGGTGATGAAGAACGCTTTATTACATTGGTACCTCTTGTGAAGACACTTTGTGCAAACTCCTGTGAGCGCGAACATACAACAAGCCTTCACCTGATTTGAAAACGCCCACCAATGCAAGACACCCACTCTCTCTCCCTGCCACCATTAGTCTTCAACGTTTTTAATGACATGCAGCTTGAGACTTTCTTACCTGAAACAATCTTATGCGATCGAACTGCCTCGGTGAGTTTCCTCGCAGACATTAAATGTGGGAAAATCTTCGGTTCAAATTCCTCATAGGTACTGGCCAATCTAAATAATTTAAATAATTCAGATGTACTCACTTGCATGCCAAACTAGTTTTCACTGTAGACTCCATTGCAACTCAGGTAAAGCTCTGTTTTTTAATGTTCTCCTCAGTACTTCTGTAGCATATTTGCATAACACTAGCAAAGTATACAGTGCTGCCACAAGACTCGGTGAGGTCAAGATCAAACCTTATTCTTGCAGATCAGTCCTCCTCTACGGTTGATGAATTACTCGCCCTTCATAGGTCACTCTGGTTGGGACACGCATTTCGCATGTCAGAAGAATGTCCGTCTTACAGAGCTCTTTTGTCTAATTGCTGCGCTGAATAAAAGTGACCAGAGTGGACAATGTATGACCTGTCAATGATGTGTGGAAACACTTACCAGTAAACTCACATGGGTAGACAGCGGCTGTCTACCTGGATGGAGACTCCGAAACTCAACTCGCCAGTACTTAACGACACTGGCAGACACAGTTCAGCTTCATCGCACGGCCACAGAGTTTCACAAACCCACTGAATACACCTTTACATCCAACGTTCGCCTGAATCTACCGCGCTCCGCTACTTTCAGTGAACGGAATTCTAGCATCTGGAACTGAAATTTCCTTAGTGGATGGTTTATAGCTGACAAAACTGGCTGACTAAATATACATTAATACCGTAAGAAAAAGTACGCCACTCCAAAAAACGCCAAAAGTTCTACAACACCTAGGCTGACAAATTTCATCAAACATTTTTTGGTTCAGGAAAGAAGATTTGAGTGTGCTCGCTCTTAAGGGACACAATGGGATTTTGATTGCGAAGACGTAATGACCGTCTCTCAATGATCAAGGAAATCGAATTCGGTCTTCTGCTAATATACCGGTGCAATCTTCGTGCAACCAATATATGTTCTGCTCTTTGAGCGTATGATATGTTATGTTAGCGAGAATTTCAGAATAATGGGAGTCCAGCAACTCCATATTTGCAAGGTTTTTTCTTTCGCTTTTTTTTCCGTGTTTTCCAGCGTTCGACTCTCCCCGTTGACAACGGAGTGCGTTATTCAGACCGACCAACCATGACGAGTAAAACCAGCACCCATTGTTCAGTTTTCTCGTGTCCTACTCACGCGCGTATGCCTGTGGATTCATATGGTCTCGTTTCAAACGGTACACATGCGTTATCAGGACATTACTCTGACTACTTGGAAACACCCGGCACAAGTTACCAAAACGAGTCCGAGTTGCGTGATTTGTACAACTGTAGATCTTGCAATCACAAGTTCGTTTGTGAGAAACGCGCACCGTCAGTCAGAATCGGAGCCCAACGATCACGTTTTTGTTGTCCTGAAGCCGCAAAGAATACCCTTGTCCACCATAATGAAAGCGGATTTCAGAAAGCATACAACGTGGATAATGAATCTTGTCCGTATGCACTAAGTGGTGTGTCCCTTGTAAATGCTCCTATGAGTACGAACCCCCAAACATCCTCCCACGCACTGGCTGACCAAGATTGGAATAACGATACCCCGAACTGCTTAGATCCTAAAAAACACAACGAAGCAAACTTCTCATACGAGTCAGAATTTCGTCACGACCAAGGAATACGAATGAACCCACGTCGAGTCAGTTGGCCACGACAAGTTTACCAACAGCTTAACTGCTTCTCCAAATTAGTTTCCAGGACAAATTCTGAACGTTCAAACTCTAGCGTCACACTGGTTGGTAGTAACTCATCACCAATCACAGTGGTACCCAGTAAACCGTTGTTCACCAAGTCAGAATCATTGCATCCGAGTGAAAATGGACATGAAACTCACCAAGAGGGGAGTAGAAACGAGAGGATTACCGGGCAAACTAACGAAGGTGTTTTTATAATGACCCAGTATAGGATTCCGTGGTACATGTCGCTTAAAGTGAGTTGAGTAAAACAGAACTTGTCGGGTATGCTTACCTTTCATCACGTGGCAGACAAATTAACTAATTCCCATCCTGTTGAGGAGAAAATTTAAACAAGAGGTAGTTTTTTTAGCCGTTCTCCTACCCACATATATATCAAGCGGGCAGCACAAAGTAGCATGTTCTGTCAAGTGATCAGCAATTTCTTAGTATTTACGTCATTGGTAAATGACAAAACGACCGGTTATGTCGACAATCAATAGCATCCTTTTCCAGCTGACATGATTCCCATGAAAAGCATCCCAAAACCTCAAAGAAAGCGATAAATAGGACATTTTCTTTGGTGCGGTTTATGTGAAAATAATGTACTGAAATACAGATGGTTACCGTTTCCATTTATCAGTAAGTGAGCTATTTTTCTACCTGTAATTTACGACAGCATAATAAAGTACCGACAGAATGAACAATTATCACAATGGTTTCCATATTCGGGTGTTAATAAGGTGTTGATAAAAGCGCTTTTGCAAATCGATAGAGAGACGGCCATCTTCTTTAGCTGAGCGTGAGATACCAGTACGTAATATTTCACATGTTGAAGGAGTTCTTTTCTTATGAAAACAGTTTTAGCGTTTTACGGGTAAAATAAACCAGTATAACGCATCTACGAGTACAGTTTTAAACGAAACTAGACTACTACTGCTGCGGTCAACGTAAATTCTTTGCGTTGCTAAAGTTTCTGAAATCTGAGTAAGTTCTGAAACTTAAGCCGATCCGAGCACAATGTGGCCATTCATCTGCCCACTCGGGTGAAATCTTGTGAAATTGCACTTGTGGACATTTTATTCCATTAGACTAGAGAAAACTCGAACTGGACGAAGAAGTAAACGGTATTTTACCTGAGAACCAAATCACCAGAACCACTTAGAACTTTGTTGATTTATTATGGTGATATCAGTTTATCCTTTTTGATATCAGAGCTCAGCTTTCAAGACTGTCCGAAACTTCATTGAGGTTTTGTGTTTTTGAACAAGTCACTGTTCTCATCAACCAAGGCATTGGACACGTCCACAGTACTTCCGACCTAAATAAACATGTAACCGCCTAGCAAGAATTATTATTTTTGCTGAAATGAATATTTAACCATGGATTTTTATTGTCTCATTATATATTTCACTCCAGATATATCTTGGATTGTGTGTGCATCGATCAATAATTGCTCACACAGTTCTGCTAACTTCACCACCAAGATGAGGATATAAAGCAACTACCGCCGGCCTCCTTGTCTATGTAGTGATCAATGACACAACGTTTAGTTCTTTCGAAATCTATCCCATCATTTCGTACCCTGTGAAAACGTTTAAACTACATACTAGCTTGCCAGATAGCACAGACGAAAATTTCACTGCGCACAATAGTCTTTAGTTCGCTGGCTTCAAGATTGAGATGACGCTTTGTGAAGCATCATCCGTCACGGAGAGACTGGACCTTACTTGTGAGTGATTGTTTGTGTACCTCCGTGACTCAGTGAGCGGGTGTTTGCTCGACACTGATAGGGTTTCTCATCCAGGTTGGTCAAGGGCTAGAGGTGTGACGAACACAGTCTCTTGGTTCTCCAGGCTTGGGGTTGGAATATGTGTGGCGACGTGTTCGGTAAAAATGGCAGTGCAGTTGCATTTTCCGCCAAACACTGCTGCCTTGCTATCAGGCTTTTGAGCCAAAGGCTTTGATTGAGGACCCTAATTGTTCCCTTGATTAGGTGTGGACGCCCTGATAGTATTCTAGCCACGTACAATAATGAACGCACGGCAGTGAGGCATCACTGTTGAGCACTGATGTCATACTGTACTGATGCTGTGATGAGGATGATGAGGATGATGACGGTGAGCCATCCGTTCCATTGAGCTTTGAATTGTCAGCGAATTTCTCCTGCACACTACTGCCCACGAAATTATCTTGTTTGTAAAGAATGGTACCGCCAAACTTCCACACACAAAAGTTTCAGTCGCTTTGTACATGGTCAAACCACCTAAATTTCCAACGCCTGGTCGGTGTCAAGTTAACTGGATTATGCGCGATAGTTGTCCTTTTCTGACGGTTAACATGTAGTTCTGATCACACTGAATTTGTCCCATTGACTCACTGGCGTTGTACACGCAACATTGGAGACTTTCGGGTGACTCGTAGCCATGTCAAAACTCACCCTGAATTATTGGACAAGTAGTCGAAGGACGGCGCGTTTCATCACATTTTTGAATGAAGGATGCACTTGAATTCCATGGCTTAGAAGGGTAAGGACTGAATCCACCTCGAAAAACTGTTAAGTTCGATTCGGCAGGTTCTGATACTTTAAAGTGGTAAAAGAATGAATTACGTCCCCAGCAGTTTGTGTTTTCTAGCCCGCTCATGGAAAGGTTTTCCGTGTTCTCTGAGTATAAAAACCGAAGCCCTTTATGGTTGTTTTTTGTTTATTTCTAGGATGCAAATTTAATGTCAAAATGGCATTTTAGTTTCTGGGCGGATAGTGATACATCAAGTTGGTGATTTCGTCACAGTAATTAGTTTGGACAGTGCCGCTGTGTCATAGCAATCTAACGTGTGGGGGTAAACTGAACATAAATGGGTGGATTTCTAAACCAAAAAGCTTAAGAAAAGCCGAGAAAAGTAGCCGGTGCACAATGATTTGCACCGCAAACTTTGTATGGTTGGTCGACTACAACTCCATAGTGGTAATTAAGTTACTTTTTCAAAAGGTCTATGGTTAAAGAAGTATCGTACATCTGTCAACTGCTAATTTCAGGTCAAAATCTTTCGAGATATTTATTTTACTCTTGTGGAGTATCCACGCAGCAGTCATGTGAATTTTTTCGATGACAATAACGGTTTATCATTTGCATTGGAATGATCTAGCCTGTATTTACCTTTGTAATCTGCTGTTACGGCTTCGACTAGGTGACAAACTTCTCTGACTGATTTTTCACCAAGACCTGTGAGATTTTTTGAATCCTGGAGTTTTGTTTGAGCGCAGAAATAGTGCTCATCCCCAGTACATAGCTTGCAGAGGTAATATATCTACATTGCCCGTGAAATACAACTGCATGTTTGGTACCAGGTAATAGTTTCTTTTCATTCGGCCCAAAGTGAAGTTCAAAGTAGGACGATCGGTGCACAAGAAGGATTTAAACCCCAGAAATAGCAACACGCCATCCGAGATAAACAGTGTTCTTCATGACTCCCATTTGAGCCACAAATGCATTTCAGTTGACGTCCGCTCGTGACCAATATTGGTCCTCCCCACATGAAGAAAGGAGGCAACTCCTCGAGCTGGATTTCTCGTATACGACAATGATCGTATAGCCTTAGGCGTCAGTTGTCAATGTGGTCAACAGTCCTAAAATCTCCATTCTCACCAGGGTAATATTGATGTACAATGGGTTGCAGTACGGAAGAATTGGTCAATTAGTTCATGGAAAATCTTCTGACCTCAAACATTAGAGTATACCAGACCGAAGTTGAGGGTGGATTCAAGCTAAATAGACAATAAATCCACAAGGTTCGCAGCCTGAAAATGTGAGCGAGTCCTATGCTGGATACTAGAAGAAATGTTTGTGTAGCCAAGTAGAATCGAATAGGTGCTAACTCAACTTCAACATCCAAGATGGTCAGATGTGAAGACGATTACTCTGCAACATTGTTATCTTAAACTTGGAACGTTTTAGGATATCAGTCACTAAATGCCAAAGTGATTCCTGACCATCTTCATAGGTCAAGGTTAGTCTGTCATAGTTTACCACATTTATTTGTCTCTCGGGTCTATGGAGAAGAGGCTAGTTTTCTCATAACTTCCTTCTAAAGAGCGATGTATTCTCATGACAACAAAACCTATAACGGCCAACTTTACGTTTTTAAGTTTTTTTCGAACAAATTCTGCTGTGAATGTCACGAAACGCTGTCTGCTTTCAGCCTAGTCGCAAATCTGACCCTTAATAATCATGTCCGTAGATCAAACCACTTTCCAAATCCCACGTCTGATATGACGACACTCGTCGATTTGTAACGATGTCACTACCGTATGTGAGTTCTCTTTTCATCCTCTCTTTTCCTTTTTTCGTATGACCTTGACTACGACCTACAAAGCTTACCATCTGGTTTTCAAAATATTGTGCACTTGTTTCCGTTTTTGCCATTTTGATCTTACACATTAACTTACCATTAGTATGATGGCCTGCCTAAATTCTTATTTGAAAATTCACCTTGTTTCCCACTTATCTCTATTTCCAGGCCTGGGTTCTCAGGCACGCTTTGAACCTCATCCCGCTGTTGTTAAACTCCGTGATGTTCCTGTTGTATGTGCTCATCCCCTACTGGACACGGCAAAACAGAAGACAGGAACCGCAATCCTGATTGACTTTTTTACCGTAAAAAAACACATCCAAAGCTGCTGCTAGACAAATGTTTTGAGAATTTTTGTATTTTGATTGGGTCAGTATGCCAGCAATCCTCCGTTGTACATAGAAAATATATCGCTATTGTGTTTGAGTACCTGAACTTTTATACGAAACGTAGAAAGCCTTGGAGGACTTCTTGTGAGAAAAGGCCTATGAAGCCAATATATTTGAAACTCTTTGCTAGCATAGATTGAAAGGATCATTCTTCTCAGAAAATAAATGACAAGGTTTCTTCCTTATTTGTCATACTGGAAAGTCCAGTGGAATTCGCTTACAGCCCACCAAAAGCTGTACTTTCTCTATGACTCATTAGACCTACCACGCGCATCAGATTGTAAGTACGGTATTGGTAATGACTGGGCCGGATTTTACCTATTAGGAATACGGTGATACATTTCGCTTACTTAAACGACGCCCATTCATAGAATGCATTTTTAGTAAGACCCACAATGAAGATGAAAGAATGTAGCATCTTTCATTCACTATCCTTTTCTGCACCATTTGTCAAAAGAAGAGCCCTATGGTTAAATCGACGTGATTCCGTCACATCACACATTCTTGCCAGATTTCTTACGTTTAGTGTCTGTGTCGCACACTTAGGGAAGAGTGTGTTTGTCCCAAATATTCCGTTTGTTGAAACAATCTTTTAGATGGATCTGAAAGTGGTCTTTATTCGGTTAGGGACACATTATTTCAATTCATCGTTCAATTCCTTATTTCAATTCGAGCAACATACCTAAATTTGGCAGAGAACCAAGCGATTCAGTCTCATTGAATACGTGTGGTGTCCAGTTAGATCTGCTGCGTGACAGCTGCACGTACAACCAGTTTGCACCCAAACGATCAGCATTGCATACCACCGCTTACAGGATGAAATAATCCAGGAAATTCATAGTCACACCACTCTCGTTTAAACGGTTGCCCTCCTGTTCTGGCGCAATTATTCCAGTGAGCCCATACCAAATGGGAGCGCTAGACTCAAGTTTCGGTCTTATTGGAGCTCATCAGGAGCGCATATCCAATGGCCGTGCCGGGATTTGAACCCTCGGACATCTGACGTGCGAGGCGTGCGTGTAACCACTACTCCACCAACGCACGTTGGACGCATCTGGATTTTCACGTCTGACTGGCGAGTCAGTTGATAGCCACAACCAGGACAGTTACTGGGTCCTCGTTCGATGAGTCGGGCACTTCAGTCACATCGCTCAAGTGTGAACACATTCGCCTGTTCAGACGTAAAAATCCAGGTTCGTCCAAAGTGCATTGGTGGAGTAGGGGTTATACGCTCGCCTCGCATGTCAGATGTCCGGGGTCCAAATCCCGGCACAGCCATTGGATATGCACCGCTGATGAGCTCTAATAAGAGCGAAACTTGAGTCCGGTGCTTCCCTTTGGTGTGGACTTACCGGAATAATTACGCCAGAGCAGGAGGACGGTAGTTCAAACGAGAGTGGTGTGACTACGAACAAAATACCTATCCCGCGAAACCCCAATACTGCAATCCAGAAAAATAACAGTTTACTGACAAACTGGCCGTGCACCAATAAGTACTACTTACTTACTCATCCCCTTTCATTTAAATAAAGGCCCTATAAGAATGTGGCTCAAACAATTTAAACTTATTTATATCATTTTTGGCGGTAATTGTGACCTTTATTGCGAAGTTTCCAATAATTTACTAGCACTGTGCGAGTAAGAAACCACTCGTTTGTATAATGTCCTGGTCATTAGGCTTGAAACCCAGTGCACAAAGCTAATCAAGCAAACTTTGCGCCTCATTTACGCAAATTCACATTACAGGAAAAAATTGATTGGGTGATGCCTGAAGTAAGTGCAGCTTATTTTCGGCATCATTAAACCAGTTGAAGTTTGAATACATGCAAAAAATCTATCTGCTGACCTCCAGGATTATCATTAGACAGCCAGAGTTATTCACATGCATCTGAACTGTGCACCTGTGGTCGCACATTTCTTAAACTAATAGAAGAGTAAGCAAGTAAAAGAATTCTATTTGGATACCCCGATGATCTGGAATTTTAGGAAAGAGGAATTTTTCACCGACAGACTTAAATCCTCATCTCACCAGTCTGTTGAATATGCAAGTAGAAAAACCTGTCTGAAAAAGAACGATTAATTATTGTCTTTCAACTGATACTCGAGAAAAATATGTGTTAACGTTTTCATGGCTGATTTAACTAAGAGTGATTGTCGAAACGTAAAGGAGTTGAGCAGCTGAATACTTGAGCAGTTTCTGTCAGAATCTTTGAATATTTGTTGTGAAATTCAATAGGTAATAGAGTGAAAGTGATCATAGCTCTCGTTGGGCTTGAGGAAATAGGTCGTCGCAAATGGAAGTTCATTGTGCGTTACAAGTTACAGCTCGTTTGTTCATTTCTGATGTACCAAGTAACCTGGTGAATAGGACAGTGCAGAGGACTGCAGGATAATAAAATACTCCGCTCTGCCAATCAATAGACACAATTGTGCTGCCATTTTCCTCGAATCTTGTCTAGAAATGTGGAACGGATGGAATGTCAAAGGGGAGACAACAGAGACAACTGAGATTTCAGCGACAGTAACATGTAAGAGAAGACGGTTTCTTGGGTTGATGATGCACGAAAAAGTAAAACATACTTTGCTAAACTATGTCTATAGCTCTGAAAAAGTTCCATGTGATTCAGAAACCACTTCGGTACTGAGAAAAATGAACAAACAAGGCACAAAAGGATTTTGGTATCATAGGACATTATGAAACTCTCTCTTAAGGCCGATTCTGGTAACATATTCATGGTCATCCCACATCACCGCCCTGGCACTAAACTGGTAACCATGCACTTCAGAAGGAATCAACAAGGCTGCTTTGTCATTCATCACACTGCCCTGCTAGGAATAGAAAAGAAGCACGATATTTAGTTGACAAGTAAGGGACGAAATATCGGAAGAAACACAAAAATGTAGAGAAGATTGTTCTAGGACAGTGATTTAGAATCAATTTGTAAGGCAGTGCAGGAACGCAAATCTGGCATAACCCAAGTGACCGCACCTACCTGATGAGTCTTAAGAAGAGCAAAACAATTCGTGGGCTGTCAAAATGTTTTACGCAAACTTATGAGTAGTGTGTTACGTCAATAGAATGTACTCCGACATCTCGAATTCCGTACCGGCTGAAAAACAAGGTGGCCTGGTGAAACATATCCAGGTGCTTAAGAATATCATACGTGAGAGATTCAGATAGGCTCCGTGTGAGTCTTTCGTCAAAACCAATTTGGTATGCAAATGAGTGTATTTCGCTCATTTAGTCCACTTTGGGTACGAGTAGAAAATATGGTTGATGGATTCGCGGTGCCTCCGTCTATCAGATGACCTCTAACTGTGATGAAATCATTCGTGGGCTGTTGAAAAGTTTTCAGCAACGTTACGAGTGGTGTATTTCGCCTACTCAATGATATATTATCCTTTGGCCATGAAATCTTTTGTTTCAGGACATCTAAACCATACGACACATTCCTTCTCATGATGACAAGTGATATTTAGATTCCTGCATCTCTATCCCCGGCAAAATGCATCCGCTCATTTTATGATTCTTTCAACGATTTCTCCATTTTTCTACACTGAGAAGTTTCCTATTCTATCTCCAAGGCCCCTTGCCCAAAAACTACATGTGAATAACCAGCTGCCAGTGATTGATCGCTGCTCATCTATGAAATGATGTGTAGCCTTGCTGAGATACCCCGTATTTCTAACTATGCTATTAGCAAAATCACTATTTGTTCTGGTGGTATCAATCCGAGAACTGGACGCCTATTCGTGTTGCTGATTTTTCCAGCCTCTTCGTAGGGAGAAAAATAAAAAAACTGGCACGTTTTGGGTGGGACCTATTTGCACAAGCCCGCTATAATTTTGTAAGATTCGTCCAGTTAGGTGGAATTTCTCCTTACTTAAATAGATTATCTTGGCCTTTTAGGTGCTTTGAAATAAATTTCTGAATCTGATTATTTGCTCGCAGCCGAAACTGTTCCCTGAGTTATTTTGAAACTCAAAGAGAATTTGACAAACAACGCCTTCTGGAATTGAAATTTTCGTGAGTGGCGGATGTGTGACAGAATTAATAATTTTGGAACAGCATTCCAGCACCAGTGTTGTCCTGAGGGAGACTTTCCTGGTCTTCAGATCTAAAGTCACAAATTTTCGAACCAAGTCAACGCAGGTCTCATTAGGTGCACAGACTGGCGATCAGACAGTCATCGAAACCCGTTAAGAACCTGCTGAAAATTGAATAGTCGGAATATTTTTTTGAGCTTTACGTTGTTTTCAAAGTGAACTTTGCAACTAATAATGAAATCCCTCAATATACACATAATGAGTCTCAATCAGGAGAAAGCGGCTAGCGCACTCATTTTCACCAATGACCATGTATGTGCCACCATTTTTCTCTCATTTTGACAAATCTGTTAAAAGATTTGGATAGTGGTTTTTTTTCAAAAGCGGTTGAACTAAAAAAAAGCCTCCGAATTTTTTCTTTCGGAAAATATTTTATTTCCTCCTTTCTGAATTTCCGATAATGACAAGGCTGGGTAAATTTTTTCATCCGTGGCGTGAAATGTGTAGCAAAATTGACCGGCAAAAAATTTTTACCGGTTACCCTAATGTGCCGCAGTATTGATTATTTCCATGTGCAGGTAGAAGGACACGATTTGTCGGCCAAAAAAACAGGAACCTATACCTGCCTCCTGCAAAGT